TTGGTGAATCGGAAAATGTCGGAACATTTCTGTACCTATTTTTTGGATTTCTACTACGTAAGCAACCTTCCCACGTGAATCCTACGCACGGCGTTATAAATGAGGCCCCCGGTCAACACCTACAACAATGCTCTCTCCTCCTGTCTCAACCAACTCGCTCCAATAAAAACCAAGTATGTCTCTTTCACTCACTTGGCCCCCTGGTACACGGGGTACGTGTACCACGATCATCTCCGTTGCTTCAAAACGAAAGGTCGCTAGCTCGAAAGACATGCTAAACGAACTGGTCTCACTATCCACAAAGACATTTATAGACTGCACCAACAGCAGTACAAAGATGCCCTCAACAGTGCACGCTCCTTCCACTACTCCTCTGTAATACAATCTGGCAGCAATAACCCAAAGTCCCTTTTTTCAACTATTAACAAGCTCCTCAACCCCATGGATAATATCTCCAACTCCTTCACCACCTCTAAGTGTGAATCCCATCTGGACTGCAATAACCTTCATGAACCTTTTCAATCTGGTTTCCGTACTCGCCACAGCACAGCATCTGCCCTACTCAAGGTGACCAACGACATTCTCCTCTCTGCTGACTCTAGTTCCCTCTCAATTATCATTCTCCTTGACCTAACAGCCGCATTTGACACGATCAACCATTCCATCCTCATCAACCGCCTCCAGTCTTCCATTGGCATAACCAGTACTGCCCTCTCCTGGTTTAAATCCTATCTCTCTGACAGACATCAATTAATCTCCATTAACAACTCCAAATCCCCCACAGCCCCCGTCAATCATGGCGTCCCTCAGGGTTCTGTACTTGGTCCCCTTCTGTTCATCATCTACATCCTCCCAATTGGACAAAACCTCCGTCAACACCAACTGTTGTTCCACTGTTATGCTGATGACACACAGCTCTATCTCTCAACAAAATCAATTTCTCCAACCATACACTCCCAACTCAGCACCTGCCTCACTGACATTACAATTTGGATGCAAAACAATTTTCTAAAACTTAACTGTGACAAATCGGAACTTATAATCATTGGCCCAAACTCACTTACCCGCTCAACCCAAGATTTTTCTCTTACCATCGATGGCTCCATTGTCAAGCCCTCCACTCACATCCGTAACCTTGGCATCATCCTTGACCCCACCCTCACTTTCCTCCCTCACGTCAACCAGGTCACAAAAAACGCTTTCTTCCATTTAAAGAACATCGCCCGCATCAGACCTTCCCTCTCATCGACCGCTGCTGAAACTCTGATCCATGCCTTTATAACATCCCGACTGGATTACTGCAACAGCATACTTTTTGGATCACCTGCATTAAAAAAACTTCAATATGTCCAAAACTCAGCTGCCCGCTTGCTTACCTCCACCCAACGGCCTCCGACCACATCACCCCTATCGTCCATGACCTCCACTGGCTCCTCCTAGCTTAGCACTTTCTATTTTTGTTGTTATTTTGTTTTACTTGCTTGTAAGCGCTTTGAGCACCAGAAAAGCGCTTTATAAATGTAATGTATTATTATTATTACTGTGGGTTGGGTTAGGGTTAGACTGCTAGATTTCTAAATGTGTGGTTTACGAGCAGGATTATGTTCTAAAACTAAAAAGAGCATATAGTGTTTGTTGTAAAAGGATCAGATGTTATCTCTTCTCTGTCAGCTGTACTGTTCAGTAGGCTATACGCCTACTGCCTGAATCTGCTTTATGGTTTTCACTTTCTTTGCTTCATTTGTTCTGTTTTTAATTCAGTAGGTGAACATATATGTTCATACAATAGTGTGTGTGAGCTTAACTGTGTGCGTTAAACTAAAACGGAGCATTTCTATTGTCAGCTCAGATCTTATTTCTGCTTTTTGAAACTGTAGTATGTGCTCATGTCTTTCAGTGTTGGTGTATAGGCTGTCTGAATATGCTTCATGAAAGACAGGTTTTGTATCAATAAAATAATTTGTGATCCTAAATATCTTGGTTTCTTCTTTTCTAAGGTCACTTTGTTCCGTTGTCTTTTAACAATATATTCAAAACATCTGATTGGTATTTTTTTACTCATGGATATATTTGCAATGCAATTTATATTGAGGTAATCTGAAATTAAAGTAATCAGGTTACATCACCTTGGATTAGTGAATACATTTTTGTATTGGTAACTAGTAATTGTAACTAAATGCATTATAAATCTAACCCTCCCTTCCTTGAGTATATAAATGTGGTGAAATAAAACATTGAATGAAATCAGTTCAAAGATTTGCTGATACATTAATGGAAAGAATCCCTATTTTCACATATAATAATATTTGCTAGAAAATGTATATGTTCAAAATCAAAGTTTAAGTCATATCCATCCAATACTTTCCTGTCCTTAGCCTCCAAAACACCATTATTGTCCAATCTAGATCAAAAGTAATGGCCAGTGTTTCCTGATTAAAGGTAAGTAAGTAAAAAAAGCTAACATATTGCTAAAAACAAACTACATTAGGGTCACATGGCTGTTGGGTTTATTTTTGCACCACCATCACGCAAAGCAAATTCCTTGTATGTATCCCTTCATGCCGTTTCTATGCACATAGACAGACATTCACCAGTGGTGATTTACTGTCGTGAAAATCACTAAATCTTGTGTTAACCTCAGATCTTATTTAATGTATCTAAACAAAAACGTGTTAAAAAAATGTTGACTACAAGACAATGGAACTGGAAGTAGTAAATGCTAAATCATTTCTGGGTTTCAGGACTCATTCCTCGAGCACTCTGTGGGTTAAAACCGTTAAAACAGAGACTGAGTAATTTATTTCGGGAGTGTACACTGGCCCGAGACAGAGAAGATAACTTTAGAGGAGCAGTAGGTCTTTTTAGAATTTAGAAACAGGGACTCAAGATGAGTGATTTAAAGGTCACAGGCGGAATTCAACTACATGCACCTGATGTGCACTCTGAACCCCAATGAGCTCTCTGTCAGGCGGACAGCACAAAGAGAGCTTCTCTCTACCACCTTTTGATGAGAGAAGAAAAGACAGTGTTTAATAATTCACACTCAATGTCCTTCCTCTGCACACAGTGCGACTGCAGTCTGAGTATTCACTTTGAGAAAAGGACAAGGCCGCACAGACGTAAACACATACCGGTCTGCATGGACACACACTCTATGGGTCTATACTGTACCATCACAAACGTATTCTCATCCTTTAGAATACAGTATTGTCAACAGCAATGCTACCATTGAGGACTCTGAGCTTAATTCCTCTGCATTTTTAATTCTTGGGTTTTGGCAACATGGGGGCAATAACATTCACAGCTATAACGATACGCTTGGTTTGTGTTTTTAGCTGGTGATTTCAGTATTTATAGACTTAATTGGAATACTTCCAGGCCACATGAATAAATGAATGTATTACTTGAGCATGTAGTGTATTACTGGTAGTATTTAGACATTTAAGCTGTTACTCCCAACACAAAGCCTCTTTATTTGATTGGTCTGTATGCAATCTACTTCTATTCCTGTACCCCGCAGGAACTGTCACTGCTGCTTGTAATGAATATTTCAATTCCTTCACAATTTCACTGGTGCTTATTAATCTCCCAACTGTTGAGCCGTGCATTCATCTATCAAGAGTCAATTTAATTGGTAAACTAAAAACAAATATATCCGTCACTAATTCCAACTGGTCACACATGGTCTGTTTTCATTTATAAATTGTTCAGTGTTGCGTTCATTATCAAAATTATTCATAATTTCTTCATCAATTATTATCTGTTTAGTAGCTAGTTTTGTTGTTATTAGTTCAAAAGACATTTAATTATAAAGAACTTAATCCTACAGATCATATTGGAAAAAAAACATACAGAAATAATTTTGTGAAGATGCCAATTGTATCCGAAATAAAAATAAATCTAAAAAAGAACAATTGTGATATAATTATAAATAATTTAGAAGTGTAATTGTTTTAATGTATATATGTACCTCTGAGTCTGTCTTGTATTTTCAAATATTTCTGAAATGTCATAGAAATGAGAGTTAGCCCAAATGGTGACAGTAATTTGCTCCCATCTAGTGGTTACTTCATGGTCGCTGTAAGCTTTCTGACTATATTGAGACAATCACTCAAACAGAAAAAGAAAATAAGAATTACTGTATTTACTTATTTTGCAGACATTGGTCATTTCTATGTTACCTTGCAGTTATAGTAAAAGAAGCATCATTTTTACTTTAAAATCGTATGTTAATAAAAAGGTTTTTATTTAATTATCTTTGATTTCCTATATTCATAACATTTTTTCTTTAAAAAAAAAAAAGACGTATTTTTTAATATATAGCATTCATAATAAATAAAAGCCTCTTATCAGCTAAATGTATTGAAACGTACAAGTAGTCATATGCAGTAATATGTTAATGAAATAAGTTATATATTATGTTTCTGGATTAACATTACAGATGGGTTTATTTTTGCCTTTTTATTGAGGTTGTGCTGATTTTAACTCATGTATTACTGTTTGATCCTTTAGCACTATAGGTATATTCCATAACATCCACCTATATATTTTTGCACCACTGTCCTGTGAGACTTATATGTCTTAATAGTCAACTTTTTTTTACTTAACTTTGGCAAGGTCTGATTAGTGGAACCCATTGAGAATTCAAATTGAAGGCTATTTATATTGTTCATGTCATAATGTCTTTATCAGCAATGACAGAGAAGCATTTGATGAAATACTAGTTACATTTTCCATCCAATATGAACATGTATACAAAAATAAACAGACAGATCACGGAGGTTGAAAATAAATTCCATTTTAAACATTAAAGGGGAGATCATGTTATTCAGACGCGAATTATTACACGGCTAATTTTATAAACCTATCCAAAAGGTTATTAATATATGTTGTGTATGCATGAGATTTCTGGCGATGCGTTTTTCAAATGAATTTTGATGTTCAATAATCGTTTGATTATCTTTTCGAAGTAGGCTATTGCAATGTATTTTTTCAGCGCGCGCTACGTAAGCAACGTCACCGTGACCCGGATGTACTTTAGTTCAACTTTATATCCCACAATTCCTTTCTCCTTCGTCCTCTTTCCCTACAGCAGCCATGTCTAAGAGAGGTATGAAACCCACCTTGTAAAATCTACATTCATCTGGTGTTTTATACTCCCCGCCAGCTTTTAAAATGTTGTTTGTGTGTAAAAGAGTGTGCAAGACAACACATCTGCGGGATTAGTTTTTAATTTAGGCTAACGATTGCCAAATTCTGAACTATAGCATTTTTTGCTAGCTAGTTGGTGTGAGCCATGTTTTGCTGTCAGCGCATGAAGCGAGTAAAGCTGGAGGCAGTACATGTGAATGTGCTGTTTTCTGTTGATTTCAGGAAGGTTTAATAGTTATAAACCTAACGTCAGAACATGTAATGAACGCTAACGTGATGTCCCGTGCAGTATATCGGCACAGTTAGGTGCAATTGGTCCTTGCTAGCTAAAGCTAGCTCTGTTAGCAAAGCAGCGCCGGACCAGTACATCAAGTTACTGTTTCGCTCAAATCACATTAAGCGCTTTTTCATCTGTTGCAGCAAATTATTTTGTGCACAGGACGTTACATTTCTAGTGGCTCGTGTCTAGTTTGACTCATAAGTTTAGGGGTTTTGCTTTGGTAACTGGGAAGATAGCTGAGGCCTTATGACGTAAATGGTTCATATATTTGTGTAATGCTAACATTTTTGCTAATCGACCTGTTTGACTGCTGAAATTATGAATTGTGTAAGATCCTGCGTGAAGTTACTTTAAGCTAGCCGACTGTCATAGCCCACATGTTGTAGTGTTTAGAAACCACTTGAAGTAGTTGGTGATATCCTCACAAACCATGCACCTTCACGTTTTCAGTTCCTTATTGGGCTGATTTAAAACACAATGTTCCCTAACTAATGATAGTGTGTTCTGGAGATATATATGGGATTTGACATTGCAGCAATGTTTTAAAGAAGAAAGCTTATATTAATTGTAAAAGTAGTGGAATTACTGAACTTCGGAGCTAGGTCTTGTAATGAAGGGTTATCAGTGCTTTAAGATCACATGTCAGAATAGGTGATCATCTGTCAACTAAATCAAAAATGTCCATCGTCTGTAAACAGACCATTTGTGAATGTGATTTCCGAAGTAAAATCACTTCACTGAATAATTAATCTAGAGGTAGTACTTAAATGTGAACCTTCATATTCTAAGATTTCCATTTCCTGTGTGCTGTATACCAAAAATCCCTTATCGTATGTTTTTATTTGATTTAAATGGTATTTCCATCTTTTTTATTCAAAGTTTTTGGACCAGAATCAGTTTTTATGAAACCATAAGAGTTGCATACATAGTTTGGTGTTTTCTCATAGAGGTGATGCAGACAGATATTCCCCCCTCAGAAAGCACTTGCTTGGTCGGCTCAGTGGCTGGGTGAGTTGTGTTGAAGACAACTTCAACTGTTGCCTCTAAGGTACTTAAGATATATGGCTTGCATGGGAGCTCTAAGGCTGACTGACCTGCAGGTCTTTCATGCATGTTGTCTAGAGGTATTACTTAAATTTGTAACTTCATATTCTAAGATTTCCATTTCCTGTGTGCTGTGTATCACAAATCCCTTTATCGTACGTATTTATTCGATCATTTAAATTGTGTGTTTCTGTCTTCTTTCAGGACGTGGTGGTTCTTCTGGAGCCAAGTTCCGCATCTCACTGGGTCTCCCAGTGGGAGCGGTCATCAACTGCGCTGACAACACAGGTACGCCTCTACTGAACTATTATCATTGCTCCCATTTTCAAATGAGTTGGTGCAGATGATGTGAACTAAAGTCAGATGCAGATTACGTATTGTGTGTTATATTGTAGTGGTTTTACAAGTTCAGAGCTGGTAAATTAGCAGGCACTTGACTTAAATGGGTGTTACTTATCATGGCACAATATTACTTTGGCCAATCTTTTAGTGCACTGCCCCTTCAGAAAGCACTTGCTTGGTCGGCTCAGTGGCTGGGTGAGTTGTCTTGTCGTTGAAGGGAATACTAACCCTCATCACTGTGGGTGAGATGGCAGCCTCTGTGGCTGACTACTCTCAATCAGTGATGAGACAAACTGAGGAAATGCTCCATTCCTGTCATATTTTAAAATACTGTAATGTTCTTTAGAAACTGTTCCCAGTTACTGTCTCCCATGCGGTTCCTGTCTTCACGTTTGTGTTCTCCGTCTTCAGGTGCTAAGAACCTGTACATCATCTCAGTGAAGGGCATCAAGGGTCGTCTGAACCGTCTGCCTGCTGCAGGAGTGGGTGACATGGTCATGGCCACAGTGAAGAAAGGAAAGCCAGAGCTCAGGAAGAAGGGTGAGTGGATCCACTGTCTGCAAGATACTTAGGTGTTGGTTAGAATGTTGAGGCTGTTCATTAACTCTTATAGGAACCAAACATATGTTGAGTGCTTGTGGGGACAGTGAATACCAATGCATTGGTTTAATGCACAGAAACCTGGAACTTTCATCTGGCTGTACATAGCTTACAAATGTTTCAGTCAGGTAGGCTACAAGACGGGTGTCTCGGCATTGAAGTTAAGGGAATGCTTATGCCTAATAACTGAAACTTGGGGTACACACGGGCAAGTATAATTTAAAGTGCAAAAGAGTACTCGTGCTGTTGTAAATGTGATTTATGCCAGCTAAGAGAAAGTAGCCGTTGTGTCATTTAAAGGTGTTGGTGTTAGATGTGCACTCAGTGAGACTAGTGTCAGAAAGCAAAGGCTCTCATTTATAGCTTTATGTCCAGAATACAAAAAAAACTTGTATTGCAGCACAATTACTAACAGTATAGTCTAGCGCAGGGGTCGGCCACCATTGGCACTTCATATCAAAAAGGTTGCAGACCCCTGATCTAGAGTCAATTAAAACAAATCATTTCTGAAGCTTATTCATCACTGATGCAGTGATGTTTGTAGGTTTTCAGAAAAGTGTAAACACGATTACAAAGATGAGTTTTTAACTTTGTTAACTTGAACTAACCTAATTTCCTCTGTCCACAGTGCATCCTGCGGTGGTGATACGGCAGCGGAAGTCGTATCGGCGAAAAGATGGCGTGTTTCTCTACTTTGAAGACAATGCAGGCGTCATAGTAAACAACAAAGGAGAAATGAAGGGTGGGTTTGTTTGGATGGATAAGGACGAGAAGCTAAATATGCAGTAATTATAACAGCCTTAAGGCATTGCGGATAGTCTCATGTACGCTGACTGTATGACATAGCCCCTCAGGTTCAGTAGAATGTTTCTCATCGATTCTCTCCTCTAGCTGAGTACCGGCTGAAGTGTTTTAGTTTGAATAAAAAGTAAATCTTAATAAAAACACAACTAAAAAATTATTGGACCAGAATCAGTTTTTATGAAACCATAAGAGTTGCATACATAGTTTGGTGTTTTCTCATAGAGGTGATGCAGACAGATATTCCCCCTTCAGAAAGCACTTGCTTGGTCGGCTCAGTGGCTGGGTGAGTTGTCGTTGAAGGGAATACTAACCCTCATCACTGTGGGTGAGATGGCAGCCTCTGTGGCTGACTAATCTCAATCAGTGATGAGACAACTTCAACCTGCCTGCTAAAACCAGGTCTCTGAAGTCTACGCCATATACGTGTTTATTACAGGAATTTAAGAAGTAGTCATTATTGGCTGTTACACCAAAGGTACTTAAGATATATGGCTCACATGGGAGCGTTAAGGATCATTCTCACCCGCAGCCCATTGATTCTGTTCTAATTCGGCAGTCACGTGTCTCCATATATTTAATGAAGCATGTGGTGCTGTAATCAAACTAACTGTTCTCCTCTGTCTGCAGGTTCAGCCATCACAGGCCCGGTGGCAAAAGAGTGTGCTGACCTCTGGCCCAGGATCGCCTCCAATGCTGGCAGCATAGCCTGAGCTGACCCTGCCCTGTTTGTTTTCAATAAAAGCTGTTGGTAATCCAGCCTCTTGTTATACTATTTTATTTTACCCTTAGGTAGAGGAAACGCTATTAACCTGTTAAGCCCCATAGCCCCCGCAGGCTACGGGCTTTTTTTTTCACGAAACTTTGTCTCGGGGCGTAACATTTATGAAACTATTAATGTTCCATACTCACTTAGCGGGAAGAAACTCAGCTAACTGACGATACGAGCCAGTTTTACCGAAACAAAACACAAGTCTCACAAGAAGCGTCTAAATGAGCCCTGAGCGGGAAAAATGCTATCGCACTTATCACAGAACTCAAGGCTTAAATACCCTTATTACTTATCGTATCTACACAACCAAGATATTGATTAGCAAATTGAGATTCCACGGATTCCAGAAACCTCCTAAATCTCTAAAAAGGTCAAATGTCCCTTGTTTTGCATCAATCTTGATACAGAGCAGGGTTTCCGCTAGGATTTTTTCTCGCCGGTCATATGTCCGGACAGAATTTATTTTACCGGACAAATTTGAAACTTACCGGTCATGTTTCAATAATAATAAAAAAAATTGTGTAGCAGAGTTTCCGTTAGCAGGTAATCACCGGACTATGACCGGATATGCTGATATTTAAAACTCAGTTAATGGGAGTCATTTTTATATTTCTTCAGTTTATAATCGTAACAGATCAAAAAATTCAGCTTCATTTTTCAATAAATGATTCCACAAACAACAAAATTATTACATTCAAATAAACTACTTGTAGTAGATGAAGTACATTATTCAAAAGTTTAAATTAACTTTGAATAATAACACGGGAGAAACGGATCCTCTCTTTTCCCCTCTCCCTCCCTCTCTCCCCTGACAGCCCGTCAGTTTCTCATGCAGCTCGCTAAACAGAGGGCGGGGCTTCAGGTGATTATGCAGCAGCTGTTCTGATCTCTCTCTCGCGTCCTGTTACACTTCATTCGCGTTTATGTCCATATCGATCAGATCCAGCTCTCCTGATCGGCCTTCATAGAGAGCACAGATCAAACTATTAAGAGTGAATATCAGCCAATCGATAGGAGCATCGGACATTTTGACCGGCAGGTTTTGAATTTACCGGTTTTTATTCAATTTTACCAGCTAAAAACTGGTAATTACCGGCTAACGGAAACCCTGATACAGGGTACTTATTATGTTATAGTTTGGATTCCTAAAGCTTTTAGTCTACTATCCCATCATTCAAGGGTGGTTTTCACTAAAAGGGTGACTGTGCCTGCGAGGGGGTGCGGTCGTCTTTCAACCAGAAGGTTGTGGGTTCGATCCCAGCCCGTGCAGCCAATATGTCGATGTATCCTTGGGCAAGATACTTAACCCCGAGTTGCTCCCAGTCTATGGTTGCTCCCGATGGCATGGCCAACATGAATGTTAGGTCCTAGAGCAAGTGGTACTGCTCTGTATGAATGGGTGAATGACATGTATGTAAAGCGCTTTGAGGGGTCGTAAAGACTGGATAAAGCGCTATATAAGTACAGTCCATTTAAAAGTAATTATTATTATTTTTCGACGGACACTATCATTTACCTTCTTTTTTTTACAATGTTCAATCGGAATTTACTTTAAAATAAAAAAATATCTTGATTCTGACTCTTCTACATCCAACTCACAGGTTTATCATTGCTTTGAGAAAAAAACGATTAATTTACCCCTTTTAGAAGTGAAGTTATGGGAATGTCATTTTCATGCCTGAGGCCTGGAAAACAGGCTCTGGGCTTAACTGGTTAAGGGAATGTAGTAAAAACATTGAAAGATGGGCCACTGATAACATGCTCTGTGGATGTGGTACTGTTGTGAGACTTACATTCCAGTTAGTAATACATGCGTTGACAAATAATCTGCAACTAGGTCGCCGTGTCTATATTCATTATTTAATATACAGACATCACTTTCCCTGCTATGGCAATATGGCTTGAAGTTATGTGAAAGGAAATCTGTTAATGTGCTGTAATTGTTATGTTGTGAAACTATCCTATATGAATATATTTCCAAATGCATTATTTACTACATTGCTTCTCTCACCAAAGTGAGAGTGTAGTAAACCTTACGAGTGCTAGACAACGGCCTGCTAGATTTTATTTCACAACCTATATTTCAGATTAACTTCTGTCCAGCTCTTAAATAATACTTGCAGATAAGAAAGGGTTGTACACATTTTAAAAGGGTGGTAAGACAAGCAGTGACTTATCACTAGGATCACTTATAACCAGGGGTGCATATAACTGGGACGCATGCGCGGCAAACATCTGAAATGCGTACCACTTGTGTCACAAAGCACATTTGCTTACCGACGTACCCCCCCCCCCCCTTTCTGTGCCCTGCGCACACTGGAGAACTGCGCAAAAACTTTGAGTGGAGCCAGAAGTTGGAGTACCAAACGCTGACTCCAGGTACTCATCTGAGTACCTCACTGAGAAAGTTATGTGCACCCCTGCTTATAACACAGGAATACACTATATGTCGGGATGGTTCAAAGTGCATAGAGATCTTTGAATAGACAGATATTCACTACAAAATAAATGTATGACAATCTGAGATGAACAGCAACAATAACATGTACTTGTACATGTCCACTGGCATGTATTTGTGATGTTACACATACCATCTGTTAATCCAGGTAGTATGCAAATTGTTTAGCCTCCTGTCATTCTCTCTTCTGTAAGTGTGGGGGGGGGGGGGAGGCTACACGATGTGCTTCCAGAAGGAAAGCAGCATGTTACCATCTGCACCAACTCTTCCATGCAGCCCCTCTTTGCTTACTGTACATCACCAATGCATTCCTCACACCCATGACTCCATCACTGCAGCCATTCTCCCACACAGAATGACAGTAGGCGTTATGAGGCAGGATTGTAGATTTCCCCATCATGCATGAGGGGATGAACTGAGAAGTCATTTGATTTCCCTTCAGAGCAGTGAGTGAAATGACCTTCACATGCAACGAATGACTCAACAGCATAAATTCCAAGGTCGGGAGAATGGCAAACTTTATACATTCACAAGGATATGTAAAAAAAACATCCAGTTTCAGGCTTGGGGTGATTACATTTCAAATGCAATCGGTTACAATTAACAGATTACTTAAAAATATGCATAGAATGAAGTTGTTGATTACATTTGAAGTATTACTAGAAGTGATCGTAAACTGATTAAGGTCTGTCCCTTTTAGATTACTCCAATAGCAAACGCAATGCAAATAAATACAATAAATAGTCATTCTTAAGTGTATTATGTAGAACAATGTTGACTTAAAAACAAGATATTTAGTAATCTGTTACTCTCCAAAGCCAGGTCATTTCTAACATTGTTTCCCCCACCTTGTAGCTAGATGCTATATCAAAGTGTAGGCTAACAGCAGCTCAACAGCTTTCCTGATCTTTTTGGTCAGATTTGACAGTCTTGTTACCTCTAGTATTTTAGCACAATATTATCTATCCCTTACATTTCCAGGACCCTGGTTATCAGTAAAAAAAAATGCTGGACAGCTGGAAACATTAAAGAGTTGTTAAAGTGAACAATATGGTTAGCTAGCTAGCTAAAGCTGCTCAAATCGGCCAGGACAGTTTTTCATTCACTGCTGGCAAAATTGATTTTCTCATCGGCTGGAAATGAGAGGCTTTCTTTTGTTTTAGTCTGTGTTAAATCAGAGGTTCATTTTATCTAAATGTACTCAGATATAGCTACAGTTATTAAGAGGGTTTGGGCTTTGCACACAATGTCTAATGGTCCATTTGAAAATTCATGCAAACATTTTTCAACCATATTTTTCCTGCCACTTTTCACCCCCCTTTCATAAGTTCCTTCTTCATGCTTAACACCTCCCTGCAGTTATCCCACAGTTCTTCCAGTTCTTAAATAATTGTGTTGGTATATTAATGTACAGATTGAGTGAGGGTGTATATCCTGATGTAAGTAATAGATAATAATGTTAACACTCCACTTCATGGAATCAGACCCAGTCTGGGAATAAACCTCCTCCCCCCGGGCTCATCGTCTCTGGTGGGCTCAGTTGGGGCGCTGGGTGTCGGGCTGGGCTGGGGGCGCTGCTCACAGGTGGCCTGGGGGTGTGTGTGCCATGTCCCGTCCCGGTAGGTGCAGTAACACACCGTCCGCTGGTCGATGTTCACACGCTCCCCCGCTGGGACCACCCTGTCCCCTGCGAAGCAGTTAGGACCTAAACAAACAGGAGACATTTTGTTTTGTTGCTCAGCATAGTAAAAGCAGTTCATTTGTGTCTCGTTCGGCCAACACAGCTATATAACATGTGTATTTTGCACATACATATTTTCTCTTATGTTCATTAGATATTTCTGCTTATTTTTGTATTCTTATTTTATTTTAACTTCCCTTTAGTCTATTTTTTTATTGCACATTATTTCTTTAACTCTCCTTGTTTGTATAAACATTTTCATTCTATTTGACTTATTTTTTGCAATGGAGCAACCATTTTATCAACCTCTGATTGTAGTGAATGTGATACTAAACGAATGAAGACTGTCTTGCACTGTCTAACAAAACATTTTTAAATAAAGGAAGATATTATAGTTGGATACAGTCAGCAAGCTTCACCGAACACAAAGACTGGAAACATGGAGTAACAGCTGCCAACATGTTCTATGAAGGTAATTTAAGTTGTACGAAACCGTAGTTGAAACAAAAGTCTCATCATCACTCTCATTTGTGTCATTCACCACAGCAGACTGTATGCTACTTAGCCACGAAACATTAAGTAGCTCTACAAAGATGGTTGAGACCAAAAACAGAGCTAAAATAGATCATGTAGAATAATGTAGCAGTGGGTTTTTGGATTGTTCCTTCAGTTTCAAGTAAGTCAACTGCATTTTTGACAAAACCTAATTCTTTAAAGTTAGTTCAAATATCTAGCTAATATGCTACAAGCAACACAGGAAAAGCAACAGATACTGACTTTTATGCAAATTCAAAATGAACTAAATAATACTAATAATCCCCAAAAAATCCTTCCTGGTGCTATTTCTTTACTCGGTGCATATAATACATACTGTATATATACATTGTACGATATGATATTTTAGAGTAAATTCATTATATGCAGAACACCCAGCCCTTGATATCATTTGGATCGCTCAATCACAGATGGGGGTTCCTTTATTGGCAGCTACCTGTGAAACAATTACCAAAGGCAGTCAGCGGGAGGAGAGGAAGTACAGTTAATCTGATGCCAGACCCAACTGCATTCCATAAAGCACAGCTGACATGAGGCAATTTGGCAGCAGAAAAAAACCTAAATAAAACAAAAACAATGACGCAACCAACCTCACCATCTGTCCATCAGAGGAGCAGAACAAATAGACACAGCTTAACAATAAAGCAGCAAGGAAGCACGTTCATGTGGTTATTATTTTCATGAAGAATCAATTAAATAGCCTTTTGATTGTGTAGCTGCTATGGTTTTCCCATTTATCCTTTAAAAAGCAACACACAATACAAGTTATTAATAACCCCGCTGCACACATCCCAGCAATGTTAGAGAGGGACTTTACCGCCGATGGCAGTAAAAGCATGTCTGACATAACAGGGCTGACTTTATAAGCTGCTGGGGGAACAACACTTACAATGGCAGCCCTTCTAATGGACCTGAGATTAAGTGTGTGTGTATGTGTGTGTGTGCCTGTGTGTGTGTGTGTGTGTGTGTGTGTGTGTGTGTGTGTGTGTGTGTGTGTGTGTGTGTGTGTGTGTGTGCGTGCGTGTGTGTGTGTGGTGTGTGTGTGTGTGGGATGGGATATGACAGCATGTGTTTATGCTCCAGCAACTTCCCGTAGAAGGGACTGCTATCTATTTTTATTTGATGCAGCCATGTCGGCCATGCTAACGTAATTTACCATTTTGTATTGTAGACGCCACATGTAGGATCTCTATTTTCAGTTTATTGCGTTGTATTTCTCAGTCAATATTGGTGTTGGCCGAACTCATTGGAGCCTTGAGTACATGCTTTCACCCGATCACTTGGGTTTGGGTGGACCTGACCATACTCTAGGAATGGGTTGACTCTTAGGAGATGTGCTTCAATGCTAGTAAGCACTACAAACTACTTACTAGCAGATCAAGAAACCCAAAAACTATACTGTATGTGGCGAGGCGTTAAAATACATGACCCAACCTTGGGGTTGAACATTGCTGTTAAGTAACTAAGTACATTTACTCAAGTAAAGTACTCAAGTACAATTTTGAGGTACTTGTGCTTGGGTATTTCAATGTTTGTACTGATACTGCACTACAATTATGTAGTACCTGTAGTTACTTTGCAGATTAATCATAAACAATAGGATCAACACTTTAAGATACACCAGGATTAAATTCACAATCAGTTGAAATTAGTTCCACCTTTACCAGCTTTGATAACACTTTAATGCATCAAGAATTATAATCAAAACACAATATATATATATATATATTTAATGAAATGGAGCAATCTGCATAATGACTACTTTTGGTACTTTAAGTATATTTTGTAGCCAATACTTTTGTACTTTTACTTAAGTAACATTTTTGAAATGTTACTTGTTGCAGAGTATTCCTGCTCTTTCATAGTTCTACTTTACTTTTGATTTGAGTACTTCTTCCACCTCTGGGGTTGAAATTCACAACAGTTCGGCTAACAAGTTGACCAAATTGTAACACAGGGAAATAGTTTGCTCAACTTCTTACACCTGAATTTACTCTGCTGATCCCCAGAATCTGAAGGAGACAGCTTTTGTGGACGTAGCACGCTTTAAACTAGAGTATGCCTGGGACCCCTACATTGATAAGGACAATGATGCTCTTCAACAATATAAGGAAGAGGTCGATACATGGGGATTACAGGGGGGATAGCAGTGTCCAGAAAGGCTCGAACGGTTGAATTTGGTGGAATTGACTTGGTTAGTTCTCTTCTTCAAGATTGTTCAAAACATCTCAGCTGTTGTTGCCTCGTTGCACCTAGAGGCTGTCAGAAGGGCAACCCAGAACATTTACTAATGGCGCGTTTCCACTGCAGCGGGTAGCCCCGTTTAAGCGTCCTTAACCGTCCTCAAGCGGCCAGGCCGGTTTTTGGTGGCGTTTCCATATAGCCTAGTACCGGCCAGCGGGTACTTTTTCCCTCTTTTTCCGGCCTCATAAAATCGTGGTTCCCTCAGACCAGGGCCAGGGCTGAACTAGTGACGTCAACACTCTCGACTGCTGATTGGTCAGAGAGAATCGTCACAAGATTGCGCGCGAGTTCATCCCTAGCGTCGCATATATATCTAGAAGCAAGCTTGCAGCATTTTTATAAATAGCATTTTGTAAACGGATGAGCTACAAAAATGGCTACGTCTAATAAGAAAAGCACACCGTGGTCGACCGAGGAGGTGACGACGTTCCTACATCTCATTGGGGATGATCAAATCCAGCGGGAGCTCGACGGAACAACTCGAAATGTGAACAAAAACAAAGCCGATCGCCCCGCCTACACTGTGTTGCTACCCCAGGTCCTAAACTGTAATGGAAATGCGCCACGGCCTGGGCCGGCCAGCGAGGCAGCCCGAGGCCAGAGCGAGGACGCTTAGGGACGCTTAAACGGGGCTACCCCGCTGCAGTGTAAACGCGCCATAACACTCATTCTTTCCAGAGTGGAACCTGCTGCCAGAAAAAGCTGTTAACAGAGTCCGTGGACTGCTTCCGGTAAACATTAAGAGATATTTAGTGTGGATTATCCATCCCCCACGGAGCATGATAGCTCTGGGGTTTGCTTCGTATTCAGCCAGATCCAGATACTGTTTTTCTTCTGTTCTGTCTTGTGTTTCCTGTGCTGCATAATGGACTAGCTACAACTACATTTGGTTGTGTAACCCTGGTTTGCAAAAGGACAATGACTGATCCTACAATCCTTTAGTGGCTGGCTGGTCCACATTGATGACACTATTTCCAGTTGAAAGGCTTTAAGTGGATACTTAGATTTCAATCCAGTAACATGGCCAACATGTTGTAATGCTTTAATTTTATGTAATTTAAAGTTGATTATTTGCTTAAGAAAAAGGATTATGAAGAAGTAATAAAGTCATATAATACTTTTTACAGATACTGAAAACGATGACGTTATTCTTCACTGAATGCCAGATAAAAAACTAAAAGTGTTTGTTTGTTTCTGACCGTTGAAAGGTTTGTTTAAAGCTTGTGTCAGATGATCTTATTACTATTAATCTTTGGATTTAACTCAATAGAGTAGTGCAGTGATGACGTTTGTTGTGTAGGCCAACCCAAAAGTTAGCATCGCAAGGGCTTCCTCGCTTCGACTGAAAGCAATGGGACTTTTCGATTGGCTTTGGAAAAATATTTGGAAAATCTGTGAAGTACAAAAATGCTAACTCATTTTTGGGTTTAACACTCAATCCGGCACCATTCTTTATATACATATATTTTACGAACTTGAAATGTAATTAAAGAAACGTAAACGTGCACTATGTATTTTGTGCCACTAGGGGGACTCAATCAAAACAATTAGGACTGTCCAGTCGATTGAAATATTTAATCGCGATTAATTGCATGATTGTCCATAGTTAATCGCAATTCATGAATATTAAACACAACAACCTCTGAACATTACAAATATTCGCCTCAATTCAACCTGGAACCTCTCTCATACAATAATACAATACAAAGTGTGTATGTGTGTGTGTGTGGTGTGTGTGTGTGGTGTGTGTGTGTGTGTGTGTGTGTGTGTGTGTGTGTGTGTGTGTGGTGTGTGTGTGTGTGTGTGTGTGTGTGTGTGTGTGTGTGTGTGTGTTGTGTGTGTGTGTGTGTGATGGATCGTTGGAGCAATGTGCAACTCAAGGCATATGCTCGAACGGGAGCTGCCTGGACGCTGCAATCATGTTGCGCACTATCCGTGCTGAGTGTGCTGACTTTTCGTAAAATGTCCCACTGTCTGGCTTCCTGCATAAAGTCAAGTGCTCGGCGCAGTTGTCCGGCGAAATGTCGCTCCTCTCTGTTTTCATTTAAACAGCTCCTTATATCCGTTAGCGCAGCTAGCTAGCACCAGATGCTAACAACACAATACACCGTAAGGTCTCTCTCCTCGCTGGGGTTCGCTCGGGCCACACCAATACCACACACCCATCCCGGTCCTCCCGATGGCCAGTACGGTGCCTGCCGGTGAGCGTGTGGAAGTGTGGTCTGCCGCAAGCGGACGACAGGCAGCGGGGCTGTCAGCATCAGCTTGTAGATGGTATTTTAAACTTGATGCCCGCTCTGAAACTACAGGGCGGGCGAGGACAACCAATCACACTGACGTTTTAAATAATTAGTGGCGTTTAATTTTTTTTTGCGTTACGCGTTCATTAACGCGTTTAACTTGACAGCCCCTAAAACAATACATATAAAAACGCTTCAAGAAGATCCAAAACACAACAGAAACCGGGGGAGACACTAAAAAATGACGCACACGCTGGAATACTTTGTTGACGTTCAGGGATTTATGAAGTTAGCTACTGCCTAAAAACCAAGTTTTATTGGCTTATATAAAAGTGATCTCATGATTCCTTCGGATATTATTTCAGATCTGCTGTAAGCTAGCTCACGTAGCTAACCTATCATTTCAAATATACTGGACAAAAACACTTAAATGCTGCCACACTGTTTCTCAAGTTGGTGAATTTTTCGAAAATGCTGTGCATGTGTTGTCAAGTTGGTATAAATGGTTCCTCATTGCATGTGATTTGGCACATTTGTGATTCTCATATTTGCATTGTTTCTAAAGTGGCAGCGTGTTTCTCCTAATTTAAGTGTTTTTGGCCATTTGGGCATTTGCACATGCCGGCCACCATAAGTATACCTTTAAAATTGCAGGAATTAAAATCACACTAAATTAATTTAGCTGGCATGTACTCTCTGTTTCTTCTTTATTAGCTACAAAACCACAGCTGAGTATTTTCTGGGATGATGAGAAGGGAATTGGTTTAATGGTTAAAAGATGTCTGGACACTGACTGAGTCTTACCAGTCTTACAGATGGGGCAGCAGTGGTTGGGTTCGTAGGTGGGGGTTGACGCAGTGAGGGCAGGGCATTCCGAAATGCTGCAGTACACCTCTCTGTTGGCCTGGCAACGACATCGCTCACATCTCGACAACTGGAACACAATTTGAATGTCATTGACTTCAAGCTCTAACATTTAGAATAAGTAATTGTGTACGTACCTGTAATCCCACTACTCAATCCCTACACATGTACATTTTGGTTAACAGCACACACAAGACACCCCTTATTATTAAATGTTGCACATTTTAAGTTGCTTTTTGTACGGAATTTGTGTCAAACATACTGTTACGGTAAATGTCTAAATGTTAAAAATGCTTCCCTCAACAGGGAAAAATGCTGCTGGTAACGGTTTCTGCCACTTGGGGGCAACACAACAAGCTTAGAAGTTGCAGAAATGTATGCAAACGATGGCCCAATTCCAAACCGCCCCTACACCCTATCCCTACATACTACCCCTACATACTACCCCCCTACATACTACCGCCTCCGTTTGCGCGTTCGCGCGGAGGGTCTGCCACATTAAGTGTTGTTCCAAAACCAACGAGTGTGGAGGGGGGGAGTGAGTTATCAAGCCCTCCAACAGAGAGTATGCATCAGTACTGACCATGGATGTATAATAAGAACTGGATACAGCGTGGGAGGCGGGGTCTCGTTCTTTCCTATGAGAGCTGCTCATTGGCGCATGATGAGGACCAAATGGACCAACTTTTGAGAGAGCGAAACGTCACAGATTACCCATCATGCCTGGCTGTCAGAGCAGAAGTACCTGTATGTGCGCTCATAGAGCATGCACAGTTGAGTTGCCCCTTAAGCCCCGCCCCCGAGCCTCCCCTCTCAGATGCGCGTTCATAATGCAGAGGAAAATAACTCTCAGAATAACGTTATTAGCACATTTTACAACTTGAGGACCGATGTTTTTAATAAGGGCTTTACAAATGTTCATACTGGGTAGTTTATTTTGTTTAAAAAAATTATCCAACGATTTACAGACCACTCTTTCCCAATGTAAGTCAATAGGAAAAAGTGTTTCCGGGCCCAGCAACACATACGGAAGTGTAGTACCGCCGTTTGGCCACAACGAATATTTTCCTCAGAGTCCGGCGCACTTCCTGGGGGCTTGGTGCTGACTTCACCTGCTGCCATAACCTGACCGACCAACGCTGTGTGTGTCCGTCATGAAACAAGCTGTCAGTGTTTACTAAAGTTCCGTTACGGACCGTTAGTAACTTGGAAGCTTGACGTTCCATAGAGGGTGCTCAAACAGGTTTAGGGTAGGGTTTCCCATTAAGGTACCCGGGCTACAGTGAAATGTTCTACTGCAACACTCCCCACAACGCACATACACAGTGTACCCACGACCATGGCCATATCCACCATTGAGGTCACCGAGGTCCGGACCTCGGTAATCTTTTCCGAGCTGTGTATAACAAAACTTGTGAAATAATTGCACTAAACGGGATTCTTTGTAGTACTTCCATTTACTGACGATGGGGGCGCTGCATAACTACGTAGCCTCGATTAAAGCAAACAGAAGAAGACGACATGTATCAGAGTTATCAACCGGTATCAACAGACCACCGCAGCCCGTACTTGAACCGGAGCAGCGAAGGAGTGATTAGGTATCTAGAGATCAGAGTCCAGAGGAGGAGTGATGAGGTATCTAGAGATCTGAGTCCAGAGGAGGAGTGATGAGGTATCTAGAGATCTGAGTCTAGCGGGCTGCTTGTGTTTCTGCTCATCAGGACATTATATGACCAGCAGATCCTGTGTGAACGCTCTACGTTAGTCGGTGGACGTCCGACAACATGCACACTAACTTATATTGCAGCTATAGGCTATACTTTGGTTTAAATTGCGTGAATAAACTAGCTAGAGAGCTAAAGTTAATTACATTCATCCAATGTCAGAAGGATGACCTTTTAACACACGTTGTAATGCTTTTCTTTCATTTCAATTTGAGTAATACAATGAAGATATAACATTGTATTGTTTTCTTTTTACACTGACTCAGATATAATGAAAAGACTACGTCAGTCGAAGCTCAGCTTTGTTGTGAGAGAGAGAGAGAGAGAGAGAGAGAGAGGGAGAGAGAGAGAGAGAGAGAGAGAGAGAGACAAGTGAGGAGGAGCAAAAAGTGAATAACGAGGGAGAGATTGAACAAAGAGAGAGAGTAGAGGACAGAGAGAGTAATGAACAGGAAGAAGACAGAGAGACTAAAGAAGATGGAAGAGAGGGGGCAGGTTATGGAAAGGAGAGAGACATGGAAAATGAATGTTGACAATGTTTTGTGATCATTTTAGCCTCTTCTGCGTGTCCAGATCATTAATAGTAATCAACTGATTCTTATGCATTACACTTCAAAAATAATTGATTCTGACATTGTCAGCCCACTGACATGGTTTGAAATCAATATATTATCCAATGTGTGACCCTCCACAGGACTTAAAAAGCACCTAAGTAGATCATGAAAATCCCAAAAATCTCGGGGGATATCCCCCGAACGCCGTTAGCATGTTTGGACCTCGGTATTTAGGAAATCTTGGATACGGCCCTGCCCGCGACTGTTACAATGAAAGCTCGATAATCAGCTCGCAGCATATAGGTGTAAGCAGAGGTAAAGTGGGTGGACCTAACATCCTCTAGGGGGGTCCCGGGGGCATGCTCCCGCGGGAAGATTTTTTTTTAAATATTGAAATTAAAAGCATCAATCTGGTGCACTTTGAGAGCAAAATTAAGAGATCTAGAACAGATTTTCTTTTTCTTTATCGATATTTTACAGATCACTCCCCTTTTAAACTGTATTCTTGTTTTACTGCCATATAGTATTTCTTAACCGTTTTTCATTTATTCTCTTATTTTTTAAATAAGTATAATGATCGTATGAAGGTGTGCCTCGGAAATAATCTTTTACATAATTCGTGACCAAACCGTTTGTGACCCACTGAGATAACTTAGACTTAAGTTAACTATCTAGATTCTAAACCAACCCGGTATCACGGCAAGACGTGAACACGTGACGATTTACCATGCTGGGAGACGTGAAGATGTCACGATTTTGTCCGTTCAAAAGTGACAGTTACACGGTATTGTTAACATGGCCCAACCAGTGGAGAAAGACCCGGAAATGCCAAGCAAATACTGTACCACGACGATCGGTTGTTATTCTCCTCCAGCTTGTTGTGGAAACAGCTCCTAATGTCCGTTAGTGCAGCTAGCTAACCAGATGCTAGCAACACGGTCCCTGCCCCTGGTGCCCCATGGTCCCTGCTGGCACCGGTGCACGCTCTCTTTCTCTCTCTCTCTCGCTCGCTCAATTCTTTCACACACAGTGACGTCACGAGCTACCCACAATGCAACACGCGCCATATAAATATATATAAATGCGCCATTTTCCTGGAGGTGCTAATATCCTGGAAGTGCACATATAAACAGCTAGCTAACTATCCAGGCAGAGCGCAGTAGGTTTTTTTCTGAATTAACGACCGAGAAATCGCTGCATGTCTTCGGATTACATCTCTGGACTTGAGGGGTGTGCTCTAGGTCGTTACCAGCGTAAACTAGAGCTGTGTGGGATGTTACAGACTGCCTGCAGATGTATGGAAAAACGACAGTTGCCTTCGTCGATTTTGGCTGCATCTACGTCTAATTTCTGGAAACACCAGGTGAATACCCCCACTTGTCACAATAATATTATCATGCCATTGCATATATGTGGTATTTTAGAGTTGACTAGATATTGATTAAGGCAATAGACTATGATATTCAGTACAGGAAGCTTAGCAACACCTAGACGGTGTACGGCTGCTTGCACCCTCGCGTAAAACGGCGCAGACCGGAAGTACGGTGTCGCGCTCGGCCCCAATACCCGTATGTGTGTGTGAAAGAATCACACTAAATGCGCTATTGCCACACACACACACAGAGCCGAGCTTGAATGAAACACAGAGACCCAGAAGTATTTGTACTGTATTGCCATGCAACTATCTGATTGGTCTGGTGCCTCTGTTGCATTCACTGAACACGGGAAATTACAATCCTGCCGTCCTCTCTAGTGTCATGATGAGGTTCAGGTGAATCACGGTTAATGTATTATATTATTGAGGGAGAATTGTCCGGGGCTACAGAAAAAACATTTAGGGCGCCAGGCGACGCCACTGGTCTCCACTTATCATTTACACTTGATATGAACATAACAAACACATTTCACAGAATGGTAGGGTGTGCAACCATTGGGATAATCCAGAAATAATAATAATATTACAAATATTCTATATCCCAAAGGCCAAAGCCTATGCAAACCTTATGATAATCTTATTCTAATAAACTATCTAAGCCTGTCCCCGAGCCCTATTCTATTGAAACTCTCTTTTAAATGCATTATACAACTTAATTTAAATCATTTCTTGTAAAATAGCATGTGACAAAAATATTTGAAAATATACCCAGAAGACACACAAGTTTAAATGACACACAAATTATAACTAAGTACTACTTTGAGGTATTTGTACCATTTACATGTTGTAATTATTTACACTTCTATCCCACTACATTTATCTCACAGCTCAGAAATGTGTTCAGATCAATATTAATAAAGCACACATTTATAACGTTTTGTAGATGAAACTCCCCATAAAGACAGACATAAATCAGAAATACAAATTGGAAATAGATAATAAATGAACACTTTCAATGGATCCATTTCCCCATATGGTTCATTGTGGTATATGAGTAATGCAATCTTTATGGAACAAAAAGTTCAAAAATATATATAGTAAGTACCACAGGTGGAAGAAGTACTCAGATCTTGTACTTAAATAAAAGTAGAAATACCAAAGTGTGGTAATACTCTGTTACAAGTAAAGGTCCTGTATTTGTTACTCAAGTAAACAAGTAATGGCATCTAAATATACTTAAAGTGCACCTATCATGCTATTTTTAGGCAATAGCATAGCTCTCAGATATATAGAAATATATAAAAAACATGTCTATGAAGTGTTTTGCTCAAAATACCAAACAGATCACCCATTCTAGCCATGCCTCATATCCCTCTATTTCACTTCCTGTTTCAAAAGTGCTGATTTGGGGTATAAAGCTTTAAAAAAAAAAAATTGATAAAAAAAAAAGGATGGGGCTGAGCTCATACGGGAGATTCTACCGGCAGATACTGCCGTGATGAAACGCCATATCATGGATTATCAAGGATTATTTCTGAAACAGTATGGAGCTCAAAGGCTTTCTCTCTTGCCGGTTATACCACAAGGTGAGTTCCTTTTTATTTCCTGCTTCTTCACACACACGCTCTCCAGTACAGGTTAGCTCTGAGTGTTAGCGATGCTAATGTAAACATGCACCGACCATATGTGACCTGCTCTATCGAAATCAGTCGCATTGATCCGAAGACACATTTTGAGTTGTATGTTGGAGATTCCTAGCTTTCTAATGATATCAGCATTGTTTTTGTACTCCAAATATTAAGCAAAATATGTCACATTATATAAGACTGTCACCAAGTCATCATTTTGAGAAAAAGGCCTTCAAAGTTTCCTTTTCTCTAGAATCCATCGATCTGATTGATTATTAGCGGAGCAAATGATCAAAAATATTTTCGTTTGGATTACTGGTCTGGGAGAAGCTCGCGAGTGTGTGTGTGTGTGTGTGTGTGTGTGTGTGTGTGTGTGTGTGTGTGTTGTGTTTGTTTCCCGGGGAAAACCCTCACGAGAAACACCGGCTGTTGTTATGCCTGCTGTGACGTCAAGTTACTCCGTTCTCCGCTTGTAATTATGCCGAAGCTTCAAAGTTGTATTTATCATCTGAATTTGCCGAAACAAGTTTAATATTCTGAAAGCCAAGACTTTGTTTATTTGAAATCAGATGAAAACAAACTGTAACGGACCCTGCCGTGTTATCTATTATTATACGCCTTACATTCATAATTTCAGCCGGAGGGATGGGGGCGGCGCTACGGAAGAGCAGATTGCGAGTGAGAGGTGCCTGTCTTCGTCCCTTTACAAGCTTCAAAAATGTATTTATCGGGTGATTTTGGAAATAAAAGTTTCATATTCTGACTTTGTTTGTTTAAAATCAAACAAAACACCCTTTTTTTACGCAAATCCACGTTTATTTTGAAATGAGCCGTTGCAACTTCCGACTGATTTCGATAGAGCAGGTCACATATTACGTCCAAAACTGTCGGGCATGGTTTCTGATAGCAACGTTTCTGATAGGGCCGTGGGTGTAAAGCCAGCCTACATTTCCGATATTACGTCATATCGGACACAAATCTGGATCAGCTCCGTTGTAGCCCCGTTTTTAGAGATTTGGGTACAGAGGAAAAGAGAGGGTTTTATTTTCTGACGCTGCGTGAGTTCCCTGACACACCGGGGACACATCTTTATGAATGAAAGACATAAAAAAGTGCATTTTGCATGATAGGTCCCCTTTAAAGTACCAAAAGAAAAGTAGTCATTGCCGATTGGACCATTTCAGAATAATATATGATGTGTTTTATAATTATTGGTCATTAAAGTGTTCTCAAAGCTGGTAAAGGTGCAGCTAGTTTTAAGTTTTACTGCTGGAGCTTGTGAATTTACTCCAGGTGGAACTAAAGTCTGATTAAAGAGTTGATTGTATTGTTTATAATTAATCCATATCTTCAAAACAAAAGTTTGAATCTCTCTCACCCTGAACTCCTCTAGGAGCCGGTACGTTTTGCCCCCGTAGACACAGACCCTGGCCATAGCCTCGCACACCGGACAGCACGCCCTATAAATCATCCGCGTGCACCGGGGGTGGATGCGCGGACACATGGGTCGGACGCACACGGGACCGTCGACGGTGCACGTGCAGGGACACGCCGTGGAGCTCGGGTAATATACCTCTCCGATCCCGTAAACAAACCCGTGGTCGTCGATGCACCACCGGCCCCGGTAGTCCCCGAACTCGTAGTCCAGGTCGCTTCTGGAGGAGTACTCCCGCCGCCGCGTGCAGCATCAGCAGGTCGAGCGCGAGACAGAGGCAGCTGAGCGCGCAGAGCGGAGGGCTCATGTTGAACGGGTTACCGACACTGAGCCCCGGTAAGAGAAGAGTCCGGTCAGCTCTCTCCCCCCCCATACATCACGCCCACACATGCGCGTCAGTACGGAGAGTACTCACAGAAAGTACTCGGATACTTTGTTATTGTTGACATTGTTGTTTAGCTCAGGGGTTCCCAACCTTTATTGTGCCAAGGACCGGCAGATACATTACAAAAAAAATCGCGGACCGGTTGTCAATTTAACTGATTTTAATATTTACTCACCAGCAGGTAACAACAGAGACTAATTGTATGTAACAGCTTGAACAAATAGGGCTACTAGAACAATATGCATCCAAAACATATTAACAACGGTTTAAAAAAATAAAATAACCGGTGTTTTTCGGAAAAACGGAAAACACAAAAAAACCGACGTTATTCAGTTTCTAAACCAAACGGGAAAACAGATAAATCAACGTTTTGGCTTTGTTTGTATGATTTACGGATAATCCAGTGAATGCTGGGAAAACGAGGAGAAGGAGCATTATGAAGGAGATGTCCGGTCGCCAGCGTGTGTGTGTGTGTGTGTGTTTGCGCGCGTGCGTGCGTGTGTGTATGTGTGTGTAGAGGTGTGTGTGGTTAACACTTGAAGCCTGCTGTCACTCTTACATCGATCTTTGTTATCCAGATACAAAGCTGATGGAAGGCGTGTCCCTGTTTCCTCAAGAAACCTTTATGAGATTGTGATTACTTGGAGAAAAAAAACATGAATTGCCAGCACTAAATATTGTGAGCGACTTAAAACAATTTGGGCTCTGTTTTAGAATAAGAAGACTACATTTCTATTGAAGCTTGAAAAAGATAGGGACAATATTGGCAAAAAAAAAGAAGATGGCTGGGGTTCTCTTTACAAGCGACTGACAAGTCCTGCAACAAGTCCTCTTAAAAATCACTTAAGTTGTTCTGAAGAAGGAAAACATGAAGGCGGTGCGTAAAAAGGCGCAGCTCTCGGCGCGCTGGTGCTAGACTTCTCAGAGGCGGGAGTTTACACATCCTGCCTCCTGATGCTGCATCCATTTCATGAAGTGAAGGAGGTTTTCCTTCTATAAAACAGCTGTGGGCAGTGGGCAGCAGATATTGTGAGAGTCCCGGACATGAATTCATAGATCAAGGCAGACTGGTTTACAGACTGGTTTACAGACTCTCCTGTTTTGCCAATCCGGTGCTTAAACAAATAGCTCTACACCCATGGCCGACTGCGGTCAAGCCAGTTTCCACTTCGGAAAACACAGTCAAAACAGCATCCGCGTTGTTTTGCGGTGCGCGAGTATCATATGCATTACGGTAGCGGCCTGGAAAAACTGCCTTCAAAATAAAAGTGTTTTTAATTTTTATTAAAATATGTACTAGGCCTATATAGGCCTAATGTGATCAATAATAATGTAAGACAAACTACGCATAACTACCACATTATAACTGAGTGAATGTAAAACTTAAAGAGTTTCAAAATAAAAGACCTTTGAAATCTCATATCCCTCTGTTTTTGAAATAAAACAAAAACTGTCTGATGTTGATTGAAAAATGATCTACCTCAGATTGTACTGATTTTCTCTGAGTGGCTAGATGGGGTGTCCTGCTATCACCCTGAAGTGATATTAGTCTTTGATACTGGACAGGTTTTGTTTTATTCTCATCTAAAAACAGAGGGATGATAGCTCATATATATGAGACTTCAAAGGTATTTTATTTTGAAACTCTACATCAGATTGTCCTGATTTTTCTCTGAGTGACTAAATGGGGTGTCCTGCTATCACCCTGAAGTGATATTAGTATTTGATACTGGATAGTTTTTGCTTTATTCTCATCTAAAAACAGAGGGATGATAGCTCATATATGAGACTTCAAAGGTCTTTTATTTTGAAACTCTTTAAGTTTTACATTCACTCAGTTATAATCAGGGCTCTGTTCTTGGTCCCCTCCTCTTCTCCTTGTACACAAACTCGCTCGGATCAGTCATTAGCCCGCATGGTTTTTCTTACCACTGCTACGCTGACGACACCAATTAATTCTGTCCTTTCCCCGCTCAGAGACCCAGGTCGTCGCACGCTTCTCTGCTTGTCTAGCTGACATCTCTCAGTGGATGTCTGCTCACCACCTCAAGCTCAACCTTGACAAGACTGAGCTGCTCTTCCTCCCGGGAAAAGATTGTCCAACTCTTGACCTGACAATCAACATCGGCACCTCAGTTGTTTCCCCCGACTCAGACTGCAAGGAATCTGGGTGTGACCCTAGATAACAACCTGTCCTTCACTGCAAACATCGCTGCTACAAACCCGCTGCTGCAGATACACGCTTTACAACATCAGGAAGATACGTCCCCAGCTGACTCAGAAAGCGACTCAGGTTCTGGTCCAGGCTCTCGTCATCTCACGCCTAGACTACTGCAAACTCCCTCCTGGCTGGTCTACCTGCATGTGCCATCCGACCTCTGCAGCTCATCCAGAATGCAGCGGCTCGTCTGGTTTTCAACCTTCCTAAATTCTCCCACACCACTCCCGCTCCTCCGCTCCCTCACTGGCTTCCGGTAACTGCTAGAATCCACTTCAAGACACTGGTACTTTTTTACCGTGCTGCGAATGGATCTGGCCCTTCCTACATCCAGGACATGGTTAAACCGTACACCCCAGCGCGTGCACTACGCTCTGCATCAGCCAAACGACTCGTTGCGCCCTCGCTGCGAGGGGGACCCAAGTTCCCATCGGCGAAAACACGTGGGTTTGCTATCCTGGCTCCAAGATGGTGGAATGAGCTCCCCATTGACATCAGGACGGCAGATAGCTTGCACATCTTCCGGCGCAAACTGAAAACTCATCTCTTTCGACTCCACTTCGAGCGTTAGAACGATTAACGAAGCACTTTTATACCAATAAAGGACTGGATTACCTAAAAGCCAGTTGAGTAGCACTTGAAATGTTTGGCTCTATGAAACCTGATATACTTATATGATTCTGTTTTCTTCAAGGTTGTGTCTTCCTGGTCGAATGTACTTATTGTAAGTCGCTTTGGACAAAAGCGTCAGCTAAATGCAATGTAATGTAATGTAATAATGTGGTAGTTATACGTAGTTTATTTTATATTATTATTGATCACATTAGGCCTATATAGTACATATTTTAATATGTTTGGTATAATTGTTATTGACCGAGTAAGCACTTTTATTTTGAAGGCAGTTTTCCAGGCCGCTACCGTAATTCGCGCACCGCAAAACAACGCGGATGCTGGCTTGACTGTGTTTTCCGAAGTGGAGGCTGGCTTGACCGCAGTCCTGGCCGACATGTCCTTAAAACGAAGTCCGAGTTTGAAATATATCTCAAATAATGTATGCACTGCCATTTCCCCACATAAACATAACAGTCTGCAATGAAACGTGTGTCCTGTGCTGTGGCGTTTTTTTATATGTAGGGCTACAAAAGTGGTGGGGCCCAACATATTAGATGTCTATATATAAGCTTCTGCAGTGAGGTTCATGGCTGGTGAGGCACTGGCACTGACTCTTCAGGTTTACAAATATTATATTTTCACCTAAATCAAAATATAATATTATTTTCAAAAGCTTTTTTTGTCTGATGCTTCGATTAATTTTAAACAGACAGTTCAACAGAAGGAAAATGTAATTTTATCATTTAAATATTGAATTGTTCTCTCTTAGTAAGATCCCATTTTCAATAAAATTGTGGTCTTACCTTGACTTGAAGATGAAGTCCATTTGCCTATCCTTCTGGACAAAAACCTCTATTACTTTTTTGTAAAAGTCCTCCTTATCTTCTTGTAGTTTCAAAAGTCTATCATAAATCTAATCGATAGATTTATGATTCGAAAATTATAAAAGTAGGGTAGACATGTGGATATTATCCATTACCTGTCCTGGTTCTGCTGTCGCAGAGGCCTGCTTTCACCCCGGGGATACCACGCTGCTGCTTTCGCCTGTCCTTTGCTGCTGTGCTGATTTTGCTCCAGGAACATCGCAGATTCTGTGTGGTGGTCTGGGAAAATGGCCCATATCGGGATTCTGCTGTGCCTGTTAACTATTTTGGACTATGAGAAGATCTCTAGTCATTCTGAGGAGTCTACTGGATTCAGGTCTGTTCTGCCACCCGCAGTGGGCATCCCCTGCAAAGGTTCGGATGTGTTACACAAACAATTACCGGTTGCCTTGTCACAGTCAATCTGCTCAACAAAATATGTTTGTCTTTTTTATTTTCCTGCGATGATGGTTCTTCAGGACTGCTTCTTAAGCTCTAATCACACTCTCGCAGACTTTTCCGGTGTTTCTAAAGTAGATGACAATGTATTTGTGTCGTTTAAGAGGAAAAGATGCCTGGTTTTTGTTGTTGTTATTACTGTCAGGAAATGTACAACCTAACCCTGGTCCGCCCAGTAGTAGTAGTCAGATCGCTACTCCTGCTGATTTTAAAGCTAGGTCTGGGTTGGGTTTCATCCACTTGAATGTGCGCAGTCTGTTAGGTAAACTAGATTTTGTCCGTATCTGGGCGAGCTCGACTGACGCTGACGTCATTGTTTTATCAGAAACATGGCTAAACAAATCTATCTTGGCCTCTGACATTGCCTTAAATGGTTTTAACGTGTATCGTACCGACCGGCCTAATAAAGGTATCTATCAGTAAGCAATTTGAATTTTTAGCCTTAAATATAGAAGTGGCAAAGGGTCAACAGGTCATGGTCGTGGGCTGTTACAGACCCCCCCTCAGCTGTCAAATACTCCTTGTCTTCACTAGCAAATCTTTTATCACAACTAGACTATAAGGAAATAGTGCTACTTGGAGATTTTAACTGGGACTGGTTAACTGCAGTGTCAGAGGATTTTAAAAACCTTTGTATCTCTTTAAATGTTACTCAGATTGTTGACAGTCCTACTCGCCCTAATATTAAGTCCCCAAATAAATCCTCCCTAATTGATCTCATTTTCACTAATGTTCCCTATAAATACTCAGCTGTGGGAGTATTTACGAAT